GTTGGGCTGGGTGACCCCCAGAGGTCCCTTCCAACCCCGACCATCCTGTGATTCTGTGTTTCTGTGAAACTGGACGCACGTGTGTGTAACACGGTGAGATAAGCTGGGGGTGAGGCGACACGCGGCAGGCACGATCCCCCGCATATCTGGTGCCGTAATAAAGAATGGTGGCTTTTTAACGCTGCGATGGCATTAAGGAGTTTTACGCCCGATTTCGGTGAGATCTGGACTCCTCCTCTTCCTCTGCCCACCTTCATCCCATCTGCAATCCCAGGCACCCAGCAACGGCCACGGAGCAGCTCCAGGTACCAGGGAAGCCCTGAGCTCCCCCCAAAAATCGCTCAGCGCTTGCCGGCGCTGGGGTGCGAATGCCGCCGGCAGCACGGAGAGGAGTACCAGCAAGGGGAATTAAATAGGGAATAAAATGAGAGGACAACTCGCACGGCATCATGGAAAAGAGAACCGAGTTCAGGAGGAACCACGCACGAGAGATGGGTCTTTAGGAATTTTTGTCTTGACTAAAGAAAACAACGAAATCCGGAGAAGCCGTTCCACAGATGCCTGGGTAAAGCCTTGGGCTGCCGAGAGATCCGCTGGAAAACACGAGCACCGGCCTCAGCGCATGACACTGGGGAAAGAAGTTCGCAAAAACCCTGAGCCTGGAGGTCGCATCGCATGAGATCTAAGACTTCGTAGCGAGAAGCCGTCAATTTCGAGATTATCATGAAAATCAGCTGCCTGTCTGGTAAAAGGGAGGCTGCCAAGTGGCTGGCTGCCTCAAAGGAGGGGGTCTGGTTGTTCACGCGGGGGAAAGAAGTTCGCAAAAACCCTGAGCCTGGAGGTCGCATCGCATGAGATCTAAGACTTCGTAGCGAGAAGCCGTCAATTTCGAGATTATCATGAAAATCAGCTGCCTGTCTGGTAAAAGGGAGGCTGCCAAGTGGCTGGCTGCCTCAGAGCAGGAGATCTGATTGCTCACGAGCCTCTTGAACCCAAAGCTCGGGGACGTTAGAGCATTTACAGACACTCAGGCAAAGGAAGTTATTTCCAGAATTATTCATTGTAGTGGAGGTCTAAGCCTCAGATTTGCAGACCAATGCCAGAAGAATGAGTCGATCCGTTGACTCCGACTTCTAGTCTAACATCAGCCCACCTTTTCACCCTGTTGAGGGAGAAGCGAGCGCAAGAGCTGGGGCCTGGCTGCAGGTGGGTCTCCACCCTACGTCTGGGGGCTTCAAGATACAGAGGAGCCATCATTGCTCCAGAAAACTCTCTCCGTGGCCAGTTCCTCCTTCCACTGCAACCCCCCGAGGCTTCACGTCCCACTCAAGCTTCCAGGTCCTGCCTGGCTGCCCCAAGCAGCCTCGTGACGCCCGTATTTTCTACTGGCAAAAGTGCTTGGATGCCATTGTTTGTTCAGGTAAATACATGGAGCGCCAGCATCTGTAAATCATCTCTCCGCTTCCCAAGCTCTAAGAGAGCATCTCTCCATCTGGGATGTCATCCCAGGTGGCTGGTGTCTACTCCATCGATCCAGCCCTTCTCCCTGCCGAGGGCTATCTCCTCCACGTCAGAAGGGCTGGGACTCTGGAGGCATCTGCACCGCCCTAGGCCGCAGTGAGCAATTGTGGCAAACATCCCTCTTGAGAAGCTGATAAAGACGCATGAATTAAGCAAAACTCATAAATCAGGCTTTGGGAACCTCCTCATCTTGATAAGGGAGCGTGGAAGAGGAGCGGAAACCTGCCCAGGCCAGGCTTGCGAACGCCACCTGTGTCACAGAGGCGAGGAAGTTCAGCGCTTGCCTTCAGGAGGGGAGGAGGAGGGGGGAAATGTGAGACCACCAAGACCCACTGACTCATTTCCGAGAACTTTCGGGAAGCTGTGAGAAGATCCCCTCCCCCGAGGATGGACGACAGCCACCCGAAGAGTAGAAAAGGAGAGGGTGCCAGCCCCGTGGGGTGCGCGTCCACCACCGCAGGACCCCGACCACCAGCAGAGACCATCGCTGGGTCCAAGGGCGGCGATACCGTTTCTCTTTACGTCTCTTTTTCCTCTCTGTCTCCGACTTCATAGGCACATCAGGGTAAATGCTGTTGTGAGTTTGTCACCCTGCTGTAGTCTGTGGTTCGGTAAAAGCAGACATTGTGCTGTTGTAAGCTTTGCCAAGTCAATAACCGTTCAACCCCCACTGCGCTAGAATCACAGAATCACAGAATGGTTGGGGTTGGAAGGCTGTGGGTCACCAAGTCCAACCCTCCTGCCGAAGCAGGGTTACCTACCACAGGACCTTGTCCAGGTGGGGCTTGAATATCTCCAGAGAAGGAGACTCCACAACCTCCCTGGGCAGCCTGTTCCAGTGCTCCGTCACCCTCAGAGGGAAGAAGTTCTTCCTCATGTTCATCTGGAACTTCCTCTGCTTCAGTTTGTGCCCATTGCCCCTTGGAAATAGTTATGAAGCTGCAAAGTCGCCATCTTTTGTAATTCTGCGGCATTCCGAGCAAAGCATTGTTTTCAGTCAAGCCTCTCGGTCACTGTTGCGACTCTCCAGTCCGGCACAGAGAATGAAAAGCTCACCGTCCCCTTTACCTGCGGAGTGGGACGGGACGACATCTCGCCTGACCTTGCTGGAGTTCGTTACTTTGAGTTCTGGGTCACACAGGGGTTCACAGCTGCGGCGGGGTGGCCGGAGCCAGCCTTTCCTGGCCCGGTGCTCCCAATCCCCCCGATTTCTTCTTCCCAGAAATATTTAGGCCGTGCGATAAAGGTGAATCTCCACAGGCACAAAGGGGCAGAGGAACAAAGGCAGGCGGAGGAAGGCAGTCACCTCATCGGCGTGAAGGCAGCACCCCAAATCTGGGGGCTGCCGAAGTGGAGGGACCCCGCTGAGACGGCCCCACTAGGGGGTTACCGGTGACGAGGGTGTTTGGGGACGGCGTGAGCTTTACCATGGGATGTTGAGGGGAAGGCCCAGAGGCAGGGAATTGTACAATCCTGGAAGATCCCAGGTCGGAAGGGACCCGTATGGGTCGCCGCGTCTGACACCCCGCTCCTCACAGAAGCCTTCAGAAAAAAAATTACCTGGTAAAAGTCTAAAAACCCGAGAGATGTCCACCGTGAAGGTTCAAAACCAAACGGCCGAGGAAAGAAACAACAAACGCCTTTAGTTTTTAACTCGGTATCTCTTCAGCCAACCTCGTAATTCTGGGAGCCGGACGTGATGTGAGATTTGAGTCTGGCAACGGCAGGAGAAGTTAAGGTGCCCATTTAAGGTGGTTTCATCGCATGTAAGGGGTCCCGACGGAGCAAGGGGAAGAAGGACGGGAAGACAGAGGGAAGAGGGAATAAAGGAGATAAAATGGGTTGGCGTAGCGTGAGCAGGTCAGGTTGACACCTCAGCGTGTTTCCGTCTGCGCCCAGCTGTCCATGTTCTGCACAGGAACAGCGGGATTTGCGCTGGTGCTTCCACTGGGTTTTCCCGTTTAAGCACTACCGGCCTTCCCCGCGCCATCACGCATTCACTGCTTCCATTTCTAATGAAGGTGAAGGGAAAAACCCCAAGCCCCCGGACACGAGCACCTCTGGCGCGGCAGAGCAGCGGCGGTGCCTGAACACCCAGGGACCACCAAGCCAGGACCTCCGCCGGTCACACTGTCAGAGGCAGCCATCATCCCAGAGAGACCCAAACCCCGCGTTTTCCCAGCGCAAAACTCCGCCGGGGTGCTGGGAGCGGTTATCCCAACCCTGCAGCCGTGAGCTGTTCCTAACGTGCGGATCGCCCCTCACAGGCTTGTCCTGGTCTCGGGTGGGACGGACTTCTTCTCAGTCGCTGCCGTGTGCTGGATTCAGCATGAGAATAACGTCGATAGCACCGATGTTTTCAGTTGTTGCTACAAAATCAAGGATGGTGGGCAGCAGGGCGAGGGAGGGGATTCTGCCCCTCTGCCGCGCTCTGCTGAGACCCCCTCCCGGGAGTTCTGCATCCTACGTCCAGCTCTGGAGCCCTCATCACAAGACAGAGCTGGAGCCGTGGGAGCGGGGCCAGAGGAGGCCCCAGCCATGATCCGAGGGCTGGAACCCCTCTGCTGGGAGGAGAGGCTGGGGGGGGCGGGGGG